AGCATCTTAAAATGTATTATTAGTTTGTTTTTTGAGTTTATTTTTATTATTTTTATTTTTTCTTTCCTGTATTTTATTTATTCAATTTTCTTCTGTTATTTTCATTGTATCTCATTATCCTTTCTTTTATTTTAAAGTGGGAAAAATATTAATTGAGTTACGTAAATCATTCACTGTTTAGTTTATCAGAATAACATTATATAGAATTTTTTTGATATAAAACAAAAATAAATAACTGAGTTAGTTGTTAGTTAAATTAAATCCTAAGTTGAGTTATAAAAAAAGAAGTGTAATAAAAAGAAATATTATACATTAACTTTATGATGGATTGAAGAAGTTTTTTAAATGTTTTTATTTATGTTTTACTACTATTTTATATTTATTTAATATTATATGAGAATTAGATGGCAACGAAAAAAAGCAAATAATTGAAAAAGAAGAGAATGAATGATATAAAAGAATAAAAAGAAAGTAAGAAGTAGAATATGATGAAGAAAGAATAAAAGTAGAAATGAGAGAATATAAAAAGAAAGAAGATAAATTGTAATAAAACAAAAGAGATGATAAATGAAGAAAAGAATGAAAAAAATAAAGGATGCAAATTTTATTGAAACAAATAAAAAAAGCGCAAAACTTAATGATGCAAAATTTAATGATGCAAAATATTTTGAAATAAAAATAAATCATCATTTGATATTATTATTATATTTGATAATAAATTATATTATATATTAAATACATCATATTTCTTTATTATTTATTATTTCATATATTCCATCATGCATGTATTATTTATATTTAATTTATTAAATAAAATGAAAATGTAAAATATCAATCAATTAAATATTCATGAATAATAATTTATTAATATTTAATAATTGAAATAACAAATAATAAAGTAACAATAATGATATATTCAATATATTCTTTATTTGATTTGTTCGATGTTAGATTATTCTATTTCATTATTTTCATTATTTCATATTCATTTATTATCTGTTTTAAAATCAAATAAACAATAATATTGATACTCACTCAACATATTAATTTAAGATAATAAACATAAACAACATTTCAGAATAAATAATTAATATTTAACATTGAAAATATTGAATTATTCAATATTTTGTTCAACATAAAATCAATAAAACATATATTTTGATAATATATAAATGAAATATTAAAGAAATATACAATACGAAAGAACTAATAAAAAAGAAATAAAAAGAATGAATGAATATAAATTTGATAAATAATAGAAGAAACAAATAGAAAAACAACGAAAAGCAAATAATATAAAAAGAATAATTGAAAGAAAGATATAAAAGAATAAAAATAAAGTGTGAAGAAGAAGGAAGATAAAGAGCAATAAAATAGAAGAGATAATAAAAGAAGAAAAGAAGAAATAAAAAGTGTAATTTTATTGTAAAAATTAGAAATATGAAATAAAAGTGTATAATTTAATGATGTAAAATAATTAGTATTGTTTTATTGTTGAAAATTATTTTATTATTTTTTATGTTTATTATTTATATGTATAATTTAAACATGATATTTATTATATAATCAATCATATGTGTTATGTTATTATAACATGTAATATGTAATAAAATATAAATGAAAATGATATGAATATATGATATTGAATATAGAATATAAAAACAAAAGAATAATAAGAATAAATGATAACTAAATATAGAAATGATAATAAATGATATAATAATAAATTCAAAGTATAAAAGATAAAATTAATATTAATATAAATCAAATCAATATAAATATGAAATGAAAATAGATATAAATGATAATAATATAAAATATGAAAATGATGAATAAGATGAATAAACAAATACAACTAAATATAAAAGAATAACAATAAGAAAATCTAAATAATATAAACATAAAAATAATAAAATAAGAAAAATATAATAATATATAGATAATAAGAAGAATACAATGATATAAATAATATAATTAGAGAAATAAAAAGAAGAGATAAATATATAAAAATAAGATGCATAAATAACATATAAATAAAAGAATAAAAAGAATACAAATAAATATGATTCATCAAATAATCTATTTCATTAATATTTCATACAGAATACAAATGATTATAAAATATAAACATAAATATTTATATATTCTGTATACTTTTTATTTTTATTTAGGAGCAAAATATAATAAATGGAAAATTCTATGGATGCAAATTATTTTGCATCTTTTTTCTTTTTTGTAAATTATTTAGATACATTTTTTCTTTGATTATTTTCGTACCCTACTATTGTACCAGAGAAAGTGAAATATGAAATAACATATTAGATAGATGGTACAGTAAGAATGGAATATGGAATAGAATTAAAAAACACAAATTCATAAAATAAATGAAACAAAAATAGAAGAAATAATAAATGAAGGGATTGAAAAGAAAAAAGAAAAAGAAGTAGTAGTAGAAATAGAAATAAAGAAGTTAATGACAAATACATCAAAAATGGAAGTGTCATCAAATAAGTGACAATTTTAGAATATGGAATGAGTCAAAATGAGTAGATAAAACTAATACAGTGAAAGCATGGAAGTCTATCAATATTAAAAAAAATGCATTTCTACAATTAACTAAAATGCAAGATGGAGCATTATTTTGTGGGTATAGAAAATCAAAAATAATGAAAAATGAAAGATTGAAATACTCCACACTTTGTAAAGACAAGATAGCTACAGTAGAGCACATTCTACTATCTTGTATTTATCATAAAAATCACAAATAGAAAAACATGACCATATAGGTATTATAATATTGATTAATAAGAAAATATACATTAAATAAACAATATAAAAACTCCATATGAAACAATATTCCAATATAAAGACATCACAATGATATGGAACAAACAAATAATACATAAAAGTGATGGACAATATCACAAAATACCAGACATATATGTAATAGATAAAAAGAATAAAACTAGTTTATTATTTGATATGACTAATGTTGAATATCACAATATTAATTGAGTGTAAATGAAGAAAAGAAATAAGTATAAAGAATTAAAGAATATTCTAATGAAAATCGAAAAGTTAAAAGATGTCAAAATAATTCCAGTAGTAATCTCAATAAATGAATTAATAAATAATTCAAGTAATAAATTAATTAAAGAATTAAAAATTGACATTGACATCGAGAAAGAAATTAAAAACCTTGTCATAAAAAACATGATTGATGTTATTGAATACTGCTTCTATCACAACCAAACATACTCAGTAGAAATGCTACAAGATGAAGATGAAGACTCATTGGGATTAGTCTCCCCTAATGCAGGAAGAATAGAATCCAATTTTATTAATACTTATTTAATTACTTATTATTCTTGTTTTTTTTATGCTTCTTTATTTTTTGAATTTCGATTTATCTTTTCTTTCATTTCTCAATACTTGTTTATTATTTATAACATTATGTTTATTTTCATTTCTGTTTAATACTCTTTCTTTATTCAATACATAGCCCGTCTTTATTATCATTTATAATCTCATTCTCTTATCAGTATATTCGTTATTTATATTATCTCTTCTATTTCTTGTTTTTCTTAACCATTTCTTTGATATTATATCGTTTATATAAGCAACATTCTTATGCATCTTTATATCAGTGTCAAATGCTCTTCTTATATTTCTTTATTTTCATTCTTCCATTTGAATATTTATTTAATTTGAATTTTTTGTCATTTTGTTGGTTTGTAGTTGTTGTTTATATTATTTTATTCTTATCTATTCAAAGAATAAAATGGTATGAAATAGAGAAATATTTTCATTCAAGTCATTGTCATAAATTTATCTTTATTTTTTAATTAAACTATTAGTATGTCAACTTCTAGTCAGTTATTACAATTATTAACGAATAAGTTGTAAATAAGACAAGATATATTTAGGTGTCTAAATAAAAATAATTAATTTCTATTATTATTAATCAATTAATTATTAATGGTAATGTTTTTAATCTTATATCTAATAATATTAGTTGAAACAAGGTATTAGATTATAAAAATTCATCTATTTGGTCATTGAAGAAAGGTATTATAAAATATTTATTTTTTTGATGTACTTATTTTATATTATATTTAAAAGAGAAACACCTTTTTTGGTAAGGTTTTAGTTTCTCTTAATATTAAAAAAACAATGCCATTAGTATGATAATATAAAGAGATAAATAAAAGGTATAAAAAACTTTCAATTATATTTTTAATGAGAATAAAAAATGTAAAAGTTGAAAGTATATTTTATTAAAGGAATATTTATGATAATAGACATATTGTTGCACTATTTTTTGAGTTCTATGAATTGTTTTTTAGATTTGATAAGAAATCTAATTATCATAGACACATTTAATAAATATGTCACGCCCAAGAAGCAAAACAATGTCTTCAAACGTAAAAATTACTCGTCCTCTGAAAGACAATCCTATAGTAATAGAATCAGACTATGTTCAGCCTCGAAAAAATATACCTATTAACACTATTCAATCAGATGACATTCTACCACAAGAACATCAACCTATAATATCACTTAATTTAGACCAACTTGTACGTCCAAACTATGAAAGTGATGAACAACTTTCTCGAAAATCAACTAATAGTAAATCATATGGAAAAACAAAAATTTCAAATAATTCTAGAAGAAGCTTATTAGATAGTTTAATTCAAAATTATGACTCAGATGGAATGAGTGTTGTTCAACAATTAAATATTCTTCAAAAACATCCATTTTCTTTTAAAGGACATTCTCTTTCTTCCATTGTTTGTTTATTTTTTTTTTATGAAATTTTTTAATAAAAAATATAGTTAATTTATTAATATGTATAGAAACAATGGAAAGAACAATGTATACTTTCTTATTGACTCTTGTTTCAATCTTTTTTTTTTATATCTTATTTTAAGATTTTCTTTTATTTTCGGGAAAAAAGGAAAAACTTCATATAAAGTTCTTTTTTATTTCATTGACTACTCATGGAAACACCTCAAATAACAAATAAAAAATATTATATCAATAGAATATGTTTTGGATGTGGTAATGATCAATGCAATAATAAATATTGTAAATCATCTTCATCATTTGTTTCTCCTTTGAATATTGAAGAGGAAGCACAACAGTTAGAAATAAATAAAACACCTTTATGTACATTACGTTGTTCATTGCAACGATTTCTATCATTAAAAGAAGAACAAACAAGTGATAGATTAGAAACATTATTATATGAACTTTATTCAACACCAGAAAGTATTGTAGAATCATTTGTTGAAGAAGGAGTATTTGATGTAGTTAAAGGGTGGGAATTAATTGATTATATTTTAAAATTCCAACCATCATTATATCAAAGTGTATTAAATGCACACCTTAAAATATTAGAGATTGTTAAAATAAAACCAATTAATATTCAAAGTATTATTGTTACATTAGCAAGTCCAATTTTTGCAGAAAATGATGAAATGGGAGAATTTTGTTCAATAATACAAAAATTGTCATCATTTATAGTAGAACTTCAAGTATTTTTAAGGAAAATGACACCAAAACAATTTTTATGTGTATTAGGAAATATTGAACAATTTATTAGTTTAAGAGTAATATTAAAGAAAAATACTGTACATGATGAAGACATTTTATTTAAAGTATTAACTTTATTAAAAACATTTTATTCTATAAATGATGATAAACGATTTGTCGATGAAAATAAATTTTATAATGAAATACTTGCAACACAAAGACAATTTCCACGAGATATTCAATACTTTTATTCAAATAAAAATACATCATTATTATATTTTCCTTTTATTATTCCAGTAGATTATAAAATGAAATTTTTACATAAAGAAGCTAAACAAGAAAGAGGACAATCTACTGTACAAGCTTTTACAGAGTCAATTACTCGTGGTGAAGAACAAAAATTAAATTTAAATATTCAAGTTAGAAGAGATCATGTATTAGAAGATTCATTAAATCAATTAGTTGAAGCAAATATTGTTGATTTAAAAAAACCATTAAAAGTAAAATTTATTGGAGAAGAAGGATTAGATCATGGAGGAGTTAGTAAAGAATGGTTCCAATTAGTAACAAGAGAAATATTTAGTCCAAATAATACAATGTTTGTTTATAATGATAAAACAAGAATATGTTGGTTTAATGCAGGTTCACAACAATTAAATGATTATAAATTAATTGGAACATTATTTGGACTTGCTATTTATAATGGAATAATATTAGATGCTAAATTACCAATTGTAGTATATAAAAAAATACTTGGAATAAATCTTCAAATGAAAGACTTAGAAGAAATTCAACCAGAAATGCTTCATAGTCTTGAATTTATATTAAAATATGAAGGAGATGATATGGAAGAAACAATGGGATTAACATTTCAACATACACAAGAAATTAATGGAGAAGTAAAAGTAATAGATTTAAAACCAAATGGTGGTTCTATTCCAGTAACAAAAGAAAATAAAAAAGAATTTGTTCAATTATTAACAGATTATATATTAAATACTTCTATTGAAAAACAATTTAATGCATTTATTTCAGGATTTAAATTAGTCTTTAATAGTAGATTATTAACAATATTTTCTCCACATGAATTAGAATTATTAATTGCTGGAAGTGATACATTTGATTTTCATGAATTAGAAAATGCAACACGTTATGCTAATGGATATACAAAAGACACTCCTGTTGTTAAATGGTTATGGGAAATTCTTCATTCATATTCAATAGAATTAAAGAAAAAATTCTTATTCTTTTCTACTGGAAGTGATAGATGTCCACCAGGAGGATTAGGAAGATTACAGTTTATTATAGCAAAGCATGGAGATGCGTCACGGTTACCAACTTCTAGTACATGTAATAATTTATTCTTAATGCCACCATATGAAACAAAAGAAGAATTAGAAAAGAAATTAACGTTTGCATTAAACAATACAAATGGATTTGGTTTAATTTAATTTAACGATTACTTTCTTAAAAGAAAAGAATTTATTATTATTATTTTTTTTTTTAATTTCTTTTTATTAGAAACAAAAAACAAAAGAATAATAAAAAAAGACATACATTCAAATTGTTTATTTCCATAATTTAATTGACGTATCAGAAAGATCACCACCTGTAATAAAAAACATTTCTGTAGGATGACAAGATAATGCAGTTATAGTAATATCATCAGTTGGAATTGATTGAATACATTTCATTGTTTCTACTGACCAAAAATTAATAGAATTAATACCATCTGAATTAACAATAAATTTTTTTAAAAATTGACCTTCTCTTGTATCTGTAAGAAAGTCAAATGGAGAATTTTGATTTATTTTATTAAATCCATAAAAGTATTGTGACTTAGAATTATTTTCTAATTTATAAAAAAATGCATCTCCTGTTTCCATTAATAATAATAACATTTTCCCATTTGGAACATATTTACAATTCATTATTGATTTATCTAATGAAAATGTATATCTTTTCTCTTTTTTTATTACATCCCATATTCCAACTGTTCCTTCTGTTGATGCTGACATAATTTCATTTTTCTTTGATGATAATGATGTAATACTTTTATGATGTTGTTCAATAGTATCTCCAAATTTTTGTTGTGCAATATTCCAACATTTAATAATTCCATCATTATATCCAATTACTAAATCATTTTGACAAAAACAACATTTTGTTGCTTTTCTACGAGGTGTTTCAATACAAATATATTTCCCCTGTAAATAAATTAAAACTATACTTTCTTATAAACTTTATTATAAATATAATATAAACAAACTGATCGTTTATCAATTAATGATACACTTCCATCAGCACATATAACCGCAACATAATTATTTTCATCTGTTGTACCATAAATTAGTCCAGTATGTCCAATATAATAATCATTTTTAAAATCAAAAGATTCTGTATCCCAATCCATAACATAACCATCCATTGCTACATTTCATTACATTGTTTTTCTTAATTCAAATTAATAAATGGTTTAATTAAATAAACAAACATGTTGAAATAAATGAATTGCCTGATTGATAAAATAATAATGATGTTATTAAATCAGAATGTGCATAACACTCTTTTTGTATTGTTAAATGAGGAGGAATACTATTATAATTTGATTGGTATTGTTGTGAATTAACTTTACCAAGGATATATTTTGTATATTCAGGTTCCATTTATTTTGTTATTGAATTTATTGTTTTTTTTTTGTAGTTTTTCATTTTTTTCATTTTTTTTTAAAGGTAAATTAAATTTAAACAGAAGTTACATAATAATAAAGAAACATAAATTAAGAAGTTATGGGTCATTCCAATTTAAATAAGAAACTTATAGTTTTTTTAAATGTATTGAATACTCACAAGAAAGAATTTGGTAGTCAAGAAAAGTTGTTTGTTTCTTAAACCAAAATAATAAAAGCACAAAAAAGAAAAAAAAGAATTTCTATCTTAAAATGGAAAAGAAAGAAAAATCAAATCTTAAAACTCGTAATCTTATAAAACAAAATCATGACAAGTTGGGGTCGACTAGTTTGCTTTACACCAGGGTTACCAAGTCTTGAAATTTATGATGAAACTGTTTGTTTTTATTTGTAAGAAAATACAAAAAAAAATAAATAATTAATAATATTATAGATAGTATTAGGTAGAAATAATCATAAAACGAAAATACATGAAGCATGTATTAGTGGTAATCATTGTTCTATTAAAAAAATAATTACAGATGGAGCTCCAATACAGTATTTACTTACTGACACTAGTACTAATGGAACATATGTAAATGGAGAAAAAGTAGGAAGAGGAAAAACAGTCACTATTAGGTCATATGATGAAATTACTTTATTAGATAAAAAAGTAGCTAAATGTGCAATTTATATGTTTGAGTCTTATATAGAGAAAAATGAAGAACTTGTAGATGGAGGACCTCAAGATAAATACGAATTTTTAGATTTATGTGGAGTTGGTAATTTTGCTGTTGTTCGTAAAGTTAAAGAAATTCAAACAGGAGAGGTGTATGCAATGAAAATGATTGATTTACAAAAAGCACAAGGAGTAAGTAAAAGAGAGAATGCTATTTTAGATGAATGTGAAATATTAAAACGACTTGACCATCCAAATATTATTAAATTAAAAGAAGTATATCAAACTACAAAATATCTTTATATGGTTATAGAATTAGTTACTGGTGGAGAATTATTTGATCAAATAGTTGCAGAAACACACTTTACTGAAGCAAAGTGTAGAATAATTATAAGACAAATATTTTCTGCTTTAGAATATCTTCATTCACAAAATATTATTCACAGAGACTTAAAACCAGAAAATATATTGTGTGTTAAAGCAGGTACTGATGAAATTAAAATTACTGATTTTGGATTAAGTAGAATTATTAACCCAGAAACTCTTGCTAAAACAATGTGTGGAACTCCATTATATGTTTCTCCAGAAATTCTTAGTGGAAAACCTTATAATGGAAGTAAAGTTGATGTTTGGAGTACTGGAGTTGTATTGTATGTTATGGCTTGTGGATTTCCACCATTTGTTGAAGGAGAGAATGATGGAAATAGAATGTTATTTGATAATATTTTAGCTGGGAAATTTGAGTTTAGAAGTCCTTTTTGGGATAATAAGAGTCTTGAATTAAAAGATTTAATTAAACATATGCTTGTTGTTGATCCAGAAGAAAGGTACAGCATTGAAGATTGCGTTAATCATCCTTTTATGAAAATGAAAATTAGTGATGAACAATTAAAGAGAACAGTTAGTGATATAGTCATGGAAGAACCTAAAGATAAAAAAGGAATCGAAGAATTATCTAAATATTCATACATTCCTAAGTAATACATCGACTAATAGAAATTATGGATTGAATAACTCGCATTTTGAAAAACATCTACTTGGGAAATACAAAAAGTTTTTTTAATTTTGTGTATTTTATTTTTTATTTATTATCATTTTTTCACTAAATATCATTAACTATTACTTTTTCTCATAAATTAATAAAGCAAATAATTAAGTATTAATAAAATTGGATTCTATTCTTCCTGGATTAGGGGAAACTAATCACATCAATTCTTCTTCATATTCAAGAAGTTCTACAGGGTAGAATTGGTTGTGATAGAAGTAGTATTCCATGACATCAATCATGTTTTTAATTACATGGTTTTTAATTTCTTTCAAGATGTCAATTTCAATTTTTATTTCTTTAAAGAATTTATTACTTGAATTATTTATTATTTCATCAATTGAGATTACTACTGGAATTATTTTGTCATCT